ACCGACCCCAGGGGTTGAAAGGATTGGTCCAAGAACGACTTTCTCTTAATCTTGGCATGGAAGTTGATGCGAGTAGTTTTGCTGTAGCCTGACAAGATTTCAGCACTTTTTATTAGGTTTACCTCTCGGCCTCTTCGCTTTCGTCAGAGCCTGAAAGTCGAAAAGCAATTGAGACCGATCCTTTCATGAGCCAAACAATCCTGAAGACAATTTCTCCAGACTACTAAACCAACAGGCGGTATCGATTGAACCAAGAGGGCTACAAGGCTTACCTAGATCTTTGTCGCCAAGGCGCAAGATCGACCACCCAAGAAGCAGACTTTTGCGTGGAATGAGCGAACCTATCTCTCCTCCCTGACCTCACCGAAACTCAAAACCTACAGAGGTCGAGGAAGGGCGCCAGGTCACGGGTTACGGCTACACATTCTTCTTTCCTATTGATTTTGGGGTCCCTAGCAGCAATCCAAAACGCCTCCAGCGTTTTCCGCGCGGTGGTCTCCTCTTCTAGAGCCAAGATGGTAACCGACACCGTGAATGCAACATCCCCATGGAACTGAACCCGATGCATTCCCAATGGGGTTTGAGTGCGTGACTTTTTGAGCCCCTCCATGTGTTCCTTGATGCGTGTGCGAAGAGGGCGCCCCGTCTCACCTATGTATTCGTTGCCGCAGTCTGGTGATGCAAAAGTTGTCGTATAGACGACTGCGAACGAGTCGTCGCTTGAGGTTTCCTGGGGGTATTTCCACATCCTTACATCTTCCTGTAGGTCACACCTGTTCAAACAGACTCGAATTGCTCTGCTCATTTCCTCGGAAATGAACGGCAAGCACAACGACACTTTATTGATCGGTGCTCTTTCGCGATTTCGGCAAGGTGTGAAATACCCCCCACGTTGTGATCTGTGGTGATTGTCAGGGTACCCATTCGAACGCGCTATGCTTCGCGCCATGCACACTGACTCCGCCTTAAGTTCTGTATCCGAGGACACGTTGCTGGCTACTCTGAACATGTTGTTAATAACAGCATGTTTTGTTCTCATAGGGTGGGCTGAATGGTAATGAATAAGAATATTCTTATTGCTGGCTTTTCGATACCATTTTGTCCGCACCCTTCCTCTTGAGAGCTGAATTTGGACATTCAAGAATGGAAGCCAGTCCTCCAAAGGTCTTTCCCTTGTGAACTTTATCTGATCTGACTGCTCATTTAGGAGGTCAAAGCATGCATCCATCTCACTTTGAGTGGAGCAAATGATGAGGCAGTCATCAATGTAACGACTATAGAGGACTGGTTGGCGGTCCACAGGCTTCTCAATTCTTCGACATGAAGGCTATTGCAAGCACCGGGGCTAGTCTTTGGCCCACTGCCAATCCCCTCAGTTGTTTATAGTAATAAAGGAGGGGGATTTGTGGTTCTTACCCAACAACTTGATAGAGCGATGTCGAGGTTGCACCTCCAAGACGGAAAATTGTATTGCAGAACTTAGAGTTAGTGAGCTATAGAGCAAACCAAAAGCCTCAAGTCCGAGGATGGCGGTTGGAACCACATTTCAGGGCAAAAAAAGATCTGAATTGATTCTTCCAAAAATGG